TCTCTCTCTCTCTCTCTCTCTCTCTCTCTCTCTCTCTCCTGTGTGCTTCCTACTTCATAGCCAATGAGATTGGAGCTATTCACCCGTTTCTACCTCCTTCTTGCCATAGGCATGTTAGGCTGAAATTACAGATGTACCTCTTCTGCATTTGGTATTTCATGGGTGGCTTCTTGGTGATGTGAACCTCTATATTATAGTCAACATTGTATAACAAGTGTTTTATATACTGAGTCATCTGCATAGATACAGATTTAATTTCTGATTTTTTTGTTTTCCTGTCAAAATTCTGTAACCTATGTTTATTGTATTTGATACTGCATTAGGGTAAAATGTGAGTCAAAATTAATGCTGTGTCATAAGCTAGTATTGTGTCACATCTTATGCATATATACATCTACAAATGTACATACGTATTTTGAAAAGAAAAATTAATAGACAACTAATTTTAATGTATTTTATCATAGGAAAAAATACCTTACTAGTTGAACATGGTTTCATAAAATCAAGCAAGGCATATAGCAATGCCAGTATATCATGTAATGGGTGAGAACATTTTTAGTAATTGTTGACTGCTTCTAATAAGGAAAGGCAAGAATTGATTATAGGTTTTAATAAAACACAGAACGTGGCTGTGTCATCCCCTTTACCCTTTACCTCTGGCAAATATGTACTAACAACATTACTTGGCTCCTTTTCCAAATCTTTCAAAATTGTTTTTGATTCTAGCAAAATGATTTCAGTGTTAGAAGTGTGACCTTCGAGAGCTTTAAATGTCACCATATTCATTCAAAGTTCAAGTTTGTACATTTAGTTAGTCTCCTTCAGTTTCACAACTGTATTTCTCACACACAAAATAATATCGGGGGGAAAGTCCGAGCCATTATTTAAGTCTGGATTGCCTACAAATCAGACGGTGGTGGCAGCCTCAGTCATTGCTTCCTGAGGCCCACGATGACTTCATTTGCTTGCTTTCAACATTTTATTAGTGTTTTATCTGATGGATATTATGCAACCCATTAATAACATCAGTGGAACAAATAATCTCATTAGTTTGAAGTGAATAATGAATCCAGTCACGTTGCTAGTTTAGATCAGGAGAACATTTTGTAATTTGCATTATATATACTGTGGTCAAAGAAGATAAATACCTTTGAGGGGTCTTGTTCAATGATGTTGAATAACACAGATGCTTTATTAGTCAAAGCATCATTTTAAAAGTGAAAAGAAAGCTGGTACAATTTCCTACAGAATTCATATAATAATTTTTTGTGCTGATCTGAATAATGAAGTGTCCAGCCTGCTACTGGTTATCATTTCTCCTGATGAACTCTCTGTCTCTCTGTCTGTCTGTCTGTCTGTCTGTCTGTCTGTCTGTCTCTCCACACACACACACACACACACACACACACACACACAAACACATACGTTTGTGTGTGTATCAACTAAAAACAGAACAATGAAAAGGTATGACCTGACAATGCAGCCCAGGAGGCTGAGGCTTGCTCTCACTGTCATCTGTGTGTTCTCTTCCTAAGCAAAGCAGCACTTGACTGGTCTTTCTTTGTGGCCTCTCACCTAAGTTTACCACATTCAGCCTTGTTTATTATCATTATTGAAGTTGCATTTTCCACTTTAAAAATGAATAATTGTAGCTTTATAAAGCTAAACATTTCTAAGTACCATTTTTTATTATTTAAAGTTTGTACATAGGTGATAAGAAACTGAAACTTGATTCCTCTATTCAAGTGTTTAACGAGTATGCAGGTCCCACACTCACCATTCATTTATTATTTTGTTTTGTTATTCATGTCACTGACTAATTCATTAATTGGATTCCCTCATCTCTATGAGTCCACTCTGTTATTAAAATGGAAGCTGTGCTGCATTGTTATCCATGCACTATCTTCTTCACGGAGGAGATTGGGTCTTACATCACTTTTTTTTTATTGGCTCTTTACTTTAATCCTTTTTTTTTGCTTCAATTGTATAGATATTTTATTTCTGTTTTATTGCTATTTTTATTTAAATTATTTAATTACTAATAATATTTACATATCCATTCCCCCATTCCCTTACCCTCCCATCCTCCCATGTTCTCCCCCAACCTCCCAAACCCATCCCCCAATTCCTCCCAGGGATAGTGAGGCCCTCCACCAGGGACCTTCAAAGTCTGCCATATCGTTTGGGGGAGGGTCTAAGCCCTCCTTGCTGTATCAGGGCTGAAATAGTATCCCACCATAGGGAATGGGCTCCCAAAGTCCATTTGTGCCCTAGGGTTAACGACTGGCTCCACTGTTAGAGGTTCCATAGACTGTCTTGGTCTCCTAGCTGGCACCCACATTCAGAGGGCTTGGTTTGGTCTAATGCTGTTTCTGCAGCTTTATGACTTGGGTTTCCATGCTCTCACTCGGTCAGGTCGACTGTTTCTGCAGCACTGTCTTGGCTTCTTTGCTCATCCCTCCTTCCTCTCCACAATTGGATTCCAGGGGTATGGTTCAGTGCTTAGCTGTGGGTGCCTGTTTCTGCTTTGAACAGTTACTGGATGAAGGCTCTAGGAATGGTCACTAATCTGAAGCACCATCCTTCAAACAGCAAACTCATACTTCTCATGTCATTTTGAGAAACTGCTATGTACCATTCTTGTGTCACTCAACCTAGATTCATGCAGACAGCCTTAGTTCTGGCGTAATTGAATAACGAGGGTCAAAGTGCTCAGTAAACATAAGCATAAAGGGAGGAAACGGGATGGGGTGGATATCAGGACATAAGCAATTGTAAAATACTGAGCAATGAACTTAAAATTCATATACTACTTCCAAACTTTGGTCTGCTTTAGTTCAGGAGTTCACTCCTTCAGCTCAGTGATCCTAGCTGGCATTTCAATGTCAATCCTTCATCTCCTCTTTTCCTACTGAAACTCACCCATGGAGACAACTACTCAATTTGCTTGCATCACAACTTTTCCTCCTTTCACTGTACCAAACCTCTTTGAATTTGGCCTTCAATTTCTGCCTTTTTTCATCTTTGGCCATCTGTTTCTGGTTTGTACTTCAATTCCATCACCTAAACAGTTCCCCTCCAATAGTTGAACTCATGATTCGTGAGTCCTTCCCGACTGCCTAGGATTTTCTAGATGCAATAAGTTGTTTTTCTATGCAAACTTGTGCTTCACCTGTTGTGGCAAGCATGTGTGTGCATGTATGTGTGTATGCGTGTGTGTAGGCACATGCATGCTATATTGGTGGACATGAAAAGATATGATTAGGTTATCAGTTCTCTCCTTCCAATTTGTGTTCCAGGGCTAGAACTCAGGTCATTTGGCTTGAACTTCAGAAACTTTTATCACTAAGCCTTCTAGCTGGTCCTGGAAAAGTTGCCCAGAGCAATTCTTTCTTTGGAAACTTGTCCCAACGTGGCTTATATGATTCTACAATTTGAAAATACCCTCATTGCCTTTCCTTATTAAAGAGTTGCATTTAATATTAGCAAACTAGATGTGTCGAGGTTATCAAAAATAAACCCTTTCAACTTGGATTAATTCAGAGTTAGAATTCTGAGTACTGAACACTTTGCTCACAATGTACTAACACACTGCTATTGCCCATTAAGACTCACAGGCTTTTTGTAAAAATAAATGCAAATTAGTTGGCAAATGGGAGCTTACAGCACTGAAGTAATAGTTTGCCCAGCTTGACTCTTTTTTGAGTGACCACTTTTTGGGAAAGACTCCAAACATTGGACTTTATGTACAAATCACCGCACTTAAGTGAAAGATGTTGCTAGATTTTAATCTAGCAGAGAAGCAATAGATTCTATTTCTAAGAACACTGACAACATGTTGTAGGTGAGACAATAGAATGACTTCCACCTTTAGAGATACAAGTTTTCCTAAAACACACTTTTAAACTCCCCCACTATAGACTTTACTCTGAGGTACAGAAACACCAGGATGTGTGTTCTCATTTTTAGATAGGATACTGTGAACATTAGGATAACATCTCTGTTGCATGACTTCGTGTGATGGTCGGAGTAACTTGGAAGTCTTGTTAGTTTTCTAGACCAGGTTCCTTTCATCCTTTCTTTCTTTCTTCCTTCCTTTCTTTTTCTTTCTCTCTCTCCCTCCCTCTCTCCCTCCCTCCCTCCCTCCCTTCCTTCCTCCCTTCCTTCCTTTCTTCCTACCTTCCTTCCTTCCTTCCTTCCTTCCTTCCTTCCTTCCTTCCTTTCTTCCTTTCTTTTTTCCTTCTTGTTTTCAGTTTTGCTTTTCTGCTTATTTATTTCTTGATTCAGTGTTATGCAAATGGATATAAGCCATTTAGTCTTGTATTGTCTGATACAGTAGCTATTAGCTAAACATTGCTGTTTAAATTGTTTTTGATTGTTATAGACATCATAAAGTTTACTATTATAATAATTGTTTAAGTAGACAGTTTTGCCACATTAAGTACAGTGGTGTATATTATCCATCACTGTCATTGGTCTATACATTTTCATCTTCCTTAAATGTGTACTCAGTTGCCTGCTAACTCCCCATCACCTGCTCACCACCCACAAACCACCTGAAGAACCAGCTTTCTGTCTCTGTGGCATTGACCACTCTATTAGTCACACAAGAGGCATAGTTCATATCTGTCTTTTTGCAACTGGCTTCTTTTGTAGAAAGCGAGGGTTTCAGAGTTCATCCATGTTGTCACATGACAAAAATATCTTTCCCTTTTAAAGTTGAATAATATCTCCTTAAAATGGCTCTAGCCCATTTGTTTTGTCTACTCATCTGTTAATGGACGTTTAGACCTTCTTCCTTTGGGTATTGTGAAAATAGGCTGCTGGGGACACAGAGAAGGTATATCACTTTGAGTCCCTGCTTACAGAGAAATTGAGAGATCCTATGGTATTTTAGTTTTTTTTGGGAATCATTAAAATACTTTCTGAGGTTCCTACATCATTTTACACTAGTACTAGTAATCAGTAAGGGCTCTAACTCCATTATTTCAAAACTAGGCATTTTATGTGTTTTTTTTTCCAGTAGAAGTTCTCCTAATGGGTATAAAGAGAAATAGCTTTCTAGTTTTAATTTTCATTTCTCTACTGAACAGTGACATTGTATGTTGTCTTTTTTCTGTGCATATTTGCCATTATACTTTTTGAAGAGGTATCTATGCAAATACCTTACCCCTTTTAATTGACTATTTCTGTTGCTGCCATTTTTAAATACATTTCTGAGTATATACTCCCTATTAAATAATAAGATTCACAGATACTTTACTTATTTTGAGAGTTTCATTTTCATTTTCACTATCCATTGAAAATATACTTTGATGAGAAACTTTTAAACTTGAGGTCAAGTTTTAGTTTTCTTCAGTTCATTATGCTTTTTTAAAAAAATTATATCCAAGAAATGTCTGCCAGACCAAATGCTATGTGTGCTTACACACATTTTTTATACTTTAGCTTTCTATTTAATACTGATCAGTTTGGGGTTGAATGTTTTGCTGAATGATGTACAGTTTCCCTAGAATCATTTATTGCAAATACTCTTTGCTTCATTAAGTGATCTTGCAACCCTGTTGGAAACCACTTGTTCATGTGTGTGAAGTCCTATTTCCAAACTCAATCCTGTTCGATTTGTCTATATTTCTGCCTTTGAGTCAGGACTATGCTGTTTTGTCTACTGTTCATTTGTGGTAAGTTTTTAAGAACAGAAACTATGAGGATTTAAGCTTTTTTTTCGTTCTGCCAGTTTGTTTTGGCTACTTGAGGTTCCTGTTGAATTTAGGACATTTCCTTTTGTTTGGGCAAAATAAACCACTGGAATTTTTATATGGATTGCTGTGCATGTGTAGATTGCTAAGTCATCTATTTCATGTTTGTGGGATGACTTTCCTTGTGCCGCCTGACTTTCTTCCAGCCCTGTTTTATACAGCACTTAAGATATAGTCTAATGCCTCCTTAATTAGGTTTACTCCTTTATTACTTTTGGTGCCTGTTTAGTAGAGTTTTTAAAAATTTATTTCAGGTCAGAGGATTGAACCCAAAGCCTTATTCATACTGGGCAGACAGTAACACCTGATCTATGTCAATCCTGATTTGCTTTATCAATTCTGTTTCATGATTGCTTATTCTTTGTGCCAATAAACATAACTGTGTTTTCTTGTGACTCAATTCTCTTAGGCTTCCAGCCTGCCTCTCTCTGAGAAAAGGTATTGTTTGGGAGTGTCTCTTAGTCTTCCATCCTGAGTGTCAGTGCTCCACTCAAAAATGAATGTGTTACCATAAAATGTTTGTTTGTCATTTTTTATGATCCTCCCTGACCCTCTAACACAGATTCTAACTACAAGAGTTCAAATTGAACCTCTAGTGTGGACACTGGCATCTTAAATATTTATTTACCTTTGTGGCATTCACATGTTGTGTGTGTGAACTATAATCGTCACTTGTAGAATAAATAATCATATTGTGTCTTCACTTTGGCCCCAAAATGAGCATTTGAGCCTCAAGCATGTACAATGTCTCCAGAGATACTCTACTAACAACATTTTTATCAGCTTTTAAAAATTATTTAACATTTGAGGAGGCATTTTTGTGAGATCCTTTGGAATTATATACATATTAAATATGTGTGTGTGTTCTTTTTATGTTTATGATATGTATACCTGCATGAGTTTATATGCACCACATATATGTGAGTGCCCACAGAGACCAGAATAGGGCATAAGATCACTTGGAACTGGAGTCAAGGCATGCTCCACTTAGAAATTCTTGAAGTAAACAAATATATATTTCCTTGGAAACGGAAAATAAAGCAACCCCTAACCTTTTAGTAACTCTGCTTAGATAAAAGCAAAGGCTAACAGGTATCATGTCAGGGTAAAACCTCACGAGATTTTCTACAGTCTAAAAGACATATATAACATGTTAACATTTTTAAGTAATGGCAGTTTCTTTATTTAAACTTTCCTTTAAATAATAATGGGAAAAATATAACAAAAGGAAGGAAGCAACTTAGAGATGATAAAAACACTGTCAGGGAACAAGAGCTAGACTGTCACACAATCTTTACCTCATCCACATTATACAAATTTCACATGTGGAGTCTCATTTCGTTTGTCCTTGAAAAATCTTAGTGGCTAGTGAAAAGTCAGTGAATATATTCTCTGAAAGACTCAATGTGGTTCCACTTAACTGAAATTCCCATGTTTAGAATTTCTGGTTTGTGTGCCTCAAAAGTAATACAAACTTCTCTTTTATTTCCAGATATTAATACAGAAAAGCAAATTCCAAAATGAGAACTGGGGTAAAGCAAAACAACACTCACTTCATTAACATTTACCTGATGGAAACCATTTTAAGTCTTTAATTTTGTAATACTACATAACAATTGTGGTTATTGCGCTCTTCTTAGAATCATATGTTGTCTAAATAAACCACTTCCGAGTGGCTTTCCTCTGGGTCTCATCACATTTATAACACAGGAAAGCAATTTTAGTGACTTATAAAAGCACTGCATTTTAGATATGTATAAGGAAGGATAATAGAAAATCTAATCTGCTAAAAACTAAGGAAATTTAATCTGCTAAAAACAAAGGACAGCCATGTTTAATCTATTCGTTACTTACCTCCGAAGAAAGTGGAAATTCATATGCTACATTTATTTAAAGGTCCATGGTGCAGCAACATTTTCCATCCTTTTAAATTAACACTTAAAATTAAACAGGCAGGTTGATTGAGTAATATAATGTTTAATGGCTTACCTAATTGAAAACCATATGTGAAAATATTGGGGTGCTGCAAACATAAGGGCATTTACAATCCTAGTGTTTAGTGTAATTGTTCACATTATCAGTACCACAAACACAGAATACATGATATTATGAATGTTGCAATTTCAGAAATTCTAGTCAAACATTCCTTCATTATGTTTCAGGGAGAAGTGCTTCTCAAGGTGCCATCTGGACTTGAGTTAAATAATATGAAGGTGCTGGGCACAGTATGGATGGCTATGCATCTGCACTTAGCTGGTTTAGACTCTGTTTCTATTTTAGAATGTATTACTTGCAACCAGTGTGGATGAGTGGGACAGTTGCTGTTAACTAATAACTTGACAGACTGGAGTCTCATAGGAAACAGGCCCCTGGGCATATCTAGAAACAGTAGTCATGATTAAGGGTTTGCCTCTGGAGATGTCTGTGAGGGGTTATCTTGATTCTGTTAATTGATGTGGGAAGAGCTACCTTGATTGCATGAGAGCCATTCCCTGGGCACAGAATTCTGGCAAATGTAGAAGGTGTGCTGAGCTCCAGCATGCAACTATCATCCCCTGCTTCTTGGCTGTAATTGCAATGTGACCAAGTGCTGTTTCATATACACACAGTGAGGTGTTGTGTATGACAGCATCTGGTACATAAAACCCATTAGGTACTGAAGTCCCTTCCTCTTGTGATGGTCATCTTAGCTGAATAATGTGGAAAATTGTAGAGAGATAAATGTGAATGTGTATATGAAATTAGGAGGACAACCCCCCAAAAAACACACAAGGAAACCTGGTAGGTTATCAACATGAAGACTAGGATGAGTTAAGGCAACACTGAAACTTCCGTTTTAAAATTTTATTTAAATAACTTTTTTTTCATTTATTTTACATACTGACCACAGTTTCCCCTCTCTCCTCTCCTCTCTTCCAGGTCACTCCCAACCCCCTGCTTCCCGTCTACTCCCTTAACATTGAAATTTTCAATAATGGGACCAGACAACATTAAATACAGAACTATCATCTTGGACCAAGGTTGTGGTAGGTTTGTGTGTAGCCAGTTGAATTCTAATTATGTTGTGTATTTTTTCAGAGGCAAAGGCCCATTGAAAAATACATCTGACGTCATTAATGCTGCCAAGAAGATTGCAGAAGCAGGCTCTCGAATGGACAAATTGGCCCGTGCTGTGGCTGATCAGGTAATACAAAAAGAAGAGGAGGAATTAATTAGTCCCAGCATCTGGGACCAGTTTATGCACCCCATGAAATGCTTTTGCAAAACGCATTTGGAGATAGTTTCTAATATTTTTTTCCAACTTTTTTTATTTGCATTAGAAACAGGATTATTTTACATGACAATCTCAGTTCCCTTCTCCCACCCGTCCTCCCCTACCCCCCCCCAACTAAAACCTTATCTGTCACATATCTTTTTTCTCCCCCTGGAGGGTGAGGCCTTCCATAGTGTGTCGTCAGAGTCTTTCCTATCCTTTGGGATAGGGCCTAGGTCCAACCCCGTGTTTCTTGGCTCAGGGAGTATTCCTCTATATGGAATGGGTTCCCAAAGTCCACACCTATGCTAGGGATAAATACTGGGCTTCTACAGAAGGTCCCATAGATTTCTGAGGTTTCCTCACAGAAACCCATGTTCCTGGGGTCTGGATCAGTCCCATGCTGGTGTTCTAGCTATTAGACTGGGAGCAAGAGTTCCCAGATGTTCAGTTCAGCTGTTTCTGTGTGTTTCACCAGCCTGGTCTGGACCTCTGTGCTCTTCACTGGTCCTTCTCTGCATTTGGGTTCCAGTTCAGATCGGTAATTACTTATGGGTGTCTGCTTCTACTTCCACCAGCTGCTGGATGAAGGTATATAAGTCAATCATCAATCTCATAATCAGGGGAGGGCATTTAAGGTAGCCTGTCGTCTGTTACTGAGATAGTTAACTGGTGTCACCTCCACTGCTGGTGGGAGTGCCAACTTGTACAGCCATTTTGGAAATCAGCATGGCGACTCCTCAAAAAAAAAAATGGGAATCAGTCTACCACAAGATCCAGCAATTCCACTCTTAGGTATATACCCAAAAGAAGCACATTCATACAACAAGGACATCTGTTCAACGATGTTCATAGCAGCACTATTTATAATAGCCAGAAACTGGAAGCAGCCTAGATGCCCCTCAACCGAAGAATGGATAGAGAAAATGTGATACATTTACACAATGGAGTACTACTCATAGGAAAAAAACAATGGAATCTTGAAATTTGCAGGAAAATGGATGGATCTAGAAGAAACCATTCTGAACGAGGTAACCCAATCGCAAAAAGATAAATATGATATGTTCTCACTCATATGCGGATTTTAGACATAGAGTAAAGGATTACCAGCCTACAATCCACACTGCCAAAGAAGCTAATAAACAAGGAGGTCCCTAAGAGAGACATACATGGTCCCCTGGAGAAGGGGAGAGGTTCTGCTGAGCTAATTGGGAGAACAGGAAGAGGGGGGAGGGAACTAGGAGAATGAAAAGGGGAGAAGAAGAGGGATGCTGAGGACATGAGGGAGCAGAAGGTATGAGTCAGGGGAAGAACACACGATAACAAGAATGGAGATACCATAATAGAGGGAGACATTTTTGGTTTACAGAGTTTCTAATATTTTTCTATACTGGCCTCTGCTGAGGCTGAGCTCCTGTCAAAGGTACATTTAACTGAGTAGATGCACCAAAGGTTTAAGGAGTGGCAGATTAAACCAGGTTTTTCCATTCAAAAAACCAACTTTTAACATAATGAGGGGGCAAAACAAGATAAGGCAGATACCACTGGACCACCTGCCTGAGATGTCATTGCCCACTAGGTCCTTCCACATCAACCAGTCATCAAGAAAATGCCAGACAGGCTTGCCTACAAGATAATCTGATGGGAGTATTTCCTCAAAGGAAGTTCTCTCTTCTCAAATGACTTCAGCTTTTGTCAAGTTGACAAAAAACTAACCAAGTGGTAGGAAGAAAGCATGATTCCTATTCTTAACAGTGATCTTACTATAACAGTCTGTAATTCATAATAAATTATGCTTTGCTATAAGACAGACAAACTCATGTAACCAAGGATAATATATATTTCCGCCATATGTTTACCCATATAAAATAAATAGCAGAAAATGAAATCCTCACAGTCTCACCTGTACATTCACAGGATGCCAGTTGAAGCCTTCTCTGTCTCACATAGAATATTTGATTATATTTCACCAATTTTCATTCAGGCTGGCTTCAACTTAAACTTCAAATCCATCTCCATGTTTTGCTGCTGGAACATTTCTTGCAAGGGTACATTAAGCAGTAGACATTTCCAGATAACAGATTATCTCTTCAAGCTGCTGTTAAAAAGAGTCTGCAGTCTGAACTACTTCAAAGTGAATATACTTTAAAATACAAAATAAGCTACTGAAATAAAATGACATGTACTCTCATTACATGGAAACTCCATAATGAACCTGATTGTGCTTCAGAAGGTGGCACCTTTTAAAGATATTGGGAGACAGAAGGCTAGTTTCTTCTCTGTGGATATTCCTAGTCTCCTGAGTTTTGAGTTGCAATTGCCAGCTATAGATTTGTTCCCTCAGTTTTTATTAGAATAGCTTTATTCTATTTACTTTCTGTAAAACATCCTAACCTTACTGTCAAAACATCAAATAAATAGAGGCTAATCATTCCTACCAGAAAATTCAATAATTAATATAGAATATACAATAAGCATTAAAAATTCCCATTTTAATTATATTTATATATGATGGGTAATGTAATGGGATGTTTCTGAAAACCTAACCAGTTTGGAAATAGAATAACTATCATAACTTCAGGTTATTTTCCTTGTTACCCTAATAAACATCACTATCATTTTTAGTAGTTAAAAACCCAACCATTGCTGTGGCTGATGTTAGGGTTACATCAAATTTCAGGCTTTGGAGTATTAAGTTGAACATCTTTTTAGAAAGTTTCATAAATACTCTAGAGAGATCACACAAGAGAAGACAGATACCATATGGATACATGCAACAAAGCTAGTCCCCAACTGGAGAGAAAGCCATGGGCTTTGTCTGAAAATGTTGGTGGGCATTGGTATGTGTGGAGCCAGAAGATTTGAGTGACGTTTTGTAAGACATTTAATAAAGGATTTTGATTTTTTTCTGGGAATAAAAATTTAGTGTCATTTGAATATTGTTCCATTACATACTCAGTTTCCATGTTAGAAAGTATTTTTCAGTACATTTAGTTGGGTAAGTTCCAAGTCCATAGTTTTGATTTCTGTTTTTATTTTTACAGTTTAGATTTTTTTTTTTTTGGTTTTTTCAAGGCAGGGTTTCTCCATGGCTTTGGAGGCAGTCCTGGAACTAGCTCTTGTAGACCAGGCTGGTCTCCAACTGAGAAGAGATGTGCCTGCCTCTGCCTCCCAAGTGCTGGGATTAAAGGTGTGACCCACCACCACCTGGCTACAGTTTAGGATCTTAATTGTTGACAGTGTAATATGAGGCATTTCCTCAAAACAGTTTTGATAGATAGCAAACTTAGTTTGAACATGCACACACATACTCTTACACACACACACACACACACACACACACACACACCAGAGTCTTTGAGTGCTATTAATAATGGCTTTTGTAGTAAACAGATGTATACTAATCCTGTATCTTTCTGGTATGTTTACAGTCATTATCTGTGAAATATATGGAAATTTTGCTAATGTTTTATCTAAGAAGGGTGTTCTTTTTCAAATTCCAGTTTGCTTTTCAGGTACAGAGGCTATTTTGAATTTCTATTGGTCCATCATGATCTTTAAAAAGGTCATAAAACATAAACCAGTTATGTTTTCACAGGTTAAGATTGAATAATGAACAGAATATTACCAAAGACTGTATTGGTTGCTTTCACTTTGCCTGAAAATATTTTTTGTGACGATTTGAGATATGCATGCAATATGAATGCTTTACGGACCACTGCATTTTTAATTACTGTTCCCTTGAGATAGAGCTCCTGGTTTAATTTGCTTTAAGGTATTTGTATTGAAAGCTTTGTCAGCCCTCTGGGGAGATATCATTTTAAAGTTAATTCCTTCCAGTATATGGGTCTCAGGAGTAGGATAAATATTACAATATTAAGTACTTGTAGAAAACTAAAAAACAGTCTCAGTGGGATGCTTTCTTGATAAATGCCTTTAGGGAAAAATATCACAACAGTAAGTGCTATGTATAAAAGAAACGTTTCATTTATTTTTTACTAAATAAGTGGTTGTGTAATAGAAACTGCTCCATTGTGTTAAAATAATTCCCCTCCTGTAACTTACAGTAAACTCAGATCAGTATTTCTCCCATACTATTACACTGTGTTGTTTTATGACAGGTGCTGGGGACTGAATCTTGCTCATGGTATCTGAATGCACTACCACTGGACTACACTATAGCTCCATACTCTTATGTTAAAAATAAGATGCTTCAAGTTCAGTTCTTGGTTCTTACATCATGCATACATACATATTTTATATAGAATATTTTATATAGAATTACTTGCTTATTAAATGTATATGTACATAACATTTTAAAAAACCAACTTGCTTATTAAATGTATATGTACATAATATTTTAAAAAACCAAATGTATGTGTGTGTATTTGCAGATACCAAATTGAACAAAAACCATGATGACCTAGAGGCATCTTAAACTGAAATTTGATAGCAGGAAAAATATTTTTTCATTGTCATTGTCTTAGAAGGTTCAGAAACATGTCACAAAGATATTGGAAATATCTGTAGAAATGGGTATTGAGCTCTGTGTGCATTTTATGGGTATCTGTTCACTTAAATTACAGTGAAAGTTAATCTTCCAAGAGAAGGAACTCTGGTTGAAGGACTCTGTTGATATATATGAGGGGTATTTCATGTAGTTTCAAATATGGCCTATCAGATCCTCCTGCTACAGGGACCACAGTCCATTTGAGAATTCTCTTGTTTGAAGAGTTTAGCAGGTTGTTAAATTTTTTGATAAGTAGGAAAAACACATAAAATGCATAGACTTAGTTAATTGGGGCATTCTTCAAAAAACGAAAAGAAACAAATAGATCTTCTGTCTTACTAATTGAACTGAAATCGTCCTGCCCCCTCCTGCTTTAGAACAAATTGTCACAGAAGTGTTGGACTTCTGGCACTCATTGCTTTATATCTGTGTTTCCTCATGTTGAAATAGTGGGAAAAGCCTAGAAAAAAAAAACCTGTAGAAGACTAATTTTCTTGAGCTCAGAAGATAGCTAACAAAATAGTCTTGAATAATGCAAACATTCCAATAAGACTTCATAAATGATCTTTACTAGTCTTCATTTTGTAGACTTGAGTCTAATGCACTTTGATTGATATACACACTTTTCCCAAACTTCCACATTATTCCATGTGCCTCCCAACTCCTCCAATTCATACCCTCTTCACTTAGTTAGTTTTCATCATTTATTGGTATTATATATGTGTGCTCATATGTATAAAATCTAAAAGCTCCAACTAGTGCTGCCCCTATGTACATGGGTATAGGCTGACAATTGCAGCATGGGTGACTACCAGGAATCTTGTCCCTCAATAAATCTGCCTCTCTTCGCCTCTGCGGCCCTGGACTTTCTGTAGCTCTTAGACTAGGGGTAGGAACTTGTGAGCCAATCTCAACCCATGCTGGAATGTAGACTCTTGTGGTATTGTGCAGTTTTTATGCAAACAACCATAGAAGCTGAGTGTTCATGGGTAAAATCTTATCAAAGTGGAGCTAACCACTCAAAACCATTGACTGTGGCATTTCTCCAGTGCATCACAAAAAGTAGAGTTAATTGAATGTAATTAAGTATGTGACACCAAAGGCTTTTACACCATAAGTGTTAGAAACTGAAGAGCACTTACTAATTGATACCCCTCTTTTGTTTTACAGTGTCCCGATTCAGCATGTAAGCAGGATTTATTAGCTTACCTTCAGCGGATTGCCTTGTATTGCCATCAGCTTAACATCTGCAGCAAAGTGAAGGCTGAAGTTCAGAATCTGGGAGGAGAGCTCATTGTGTCAGGGGTAAGCTGGGATTCTGGCATCACAATGTCAAGCCCCCACTGCTGTACTTCCAAGGCAAGAATTCTTGGCAACAGTACTGCTAAAATACCAAATGACAGTGATTCACGGCTTAAAAAAATGTTATCACCATTATTCCAGACCTTACAATAGCTCACAAAGAGCAATTTGATTTTCCAATTACCCCATGTTTATGCTAGCCTTGTAAAATCTCCATTCTTCACAAGAAAACTAATTTCATAGTCTGGAAACTCACTGCCAATCTGTGACTATTCTAATTATTGGGGGCTTTTGCATATTTACTCATTGTGAGTCGGCTTCCCTTTGTTAGTGCTGGTAATTTTCATTCTCTGTTCAGGAGCCAGCCTCTCTAAATGTGGACTATGTTCACATGTTAGAGACGATGAGACATTTATCAGGTTCCAATGCATACTAGGTTATCACTAACCCTTAACAGTCAATTGTTTGAATTTAATATATGTTGATGTGCTGTTGCCAAAATCCTACGTAGTTACCAAACACTATGTTATATATTCTTTGGTAGATCACTCTAATATTTTCCTTTTCATAAAAATATTATTATCTAAATCATTTCCATCAAAGAATAGACATGAAAAGTGTGAGGAATTTTTAGAAGAATCAAGGTTTCTTGGCAAGATTTCCAAATGTTTGTGTCGAGGCTCTTCACCTTGGCTTCTTCTCCTCCCTCATCCCCTTTCTCTCAACACAGGGTACCATTTACTATAATGATGTCCATGTTCCAAGTCTGGCCATGCCACCTTTAGTTCTTTTCCCAGCTACCCATGATGCAGCCACTGTACCTGTGGAATGAGCAGGAACAAAACTCTGTCAACATGGTGAATGTGAGCAAATACTCAGTTCCTTCTGAGATCATTTCTGTTGTCTTGGAAAGTCACCACTGAAGTTCGGTAATTCTCTGTGAATAAGTATAAACCATCCTCAAGGCAAGTGTTTCTGTTCCTGTGTGGCTTGCCTTGATGAAAACATAGCTGGGGAAAGAGCTGCTCTGGCAGGCATGGAGGTCCCATCAGGAAAATCTGTTCCATGCAGTTGAACCTTAGAGCTCAGTCGGTTGGCTATTTTGTGCCTCTTCCCAAAGCACACTCACCTCTTTGCATTTCCAAAATGATCCTGCTTCAACATTCTTCCACAATCAAGAGCTATCTGTCTTGCAGTGTGTCCTTCTGTCTATCTGGTGATGATCAATTCTCTCTTGCCAAGAAGTGATCAAAACATTGCATCTCCCTTGCTTCCTTTCTGATCTTCAGCCTTGATGGTACAGTTTTACATACCACTCTGTTTTCATACCCATTTGTCCATAGCACCTGTGAAAACAAGTGCTTTTTGTTCAGCTTGCCTCATGTGCTTCCATTTGTTACTTTTCGTTCAAATCTTATGATTGACATGGATGCTCAGTGTATCCGTGTGGATCTTAGACTCCATCCCTCTCATCTGGGCAAATATTTTCCCTGTCAGAGCTGCTGTCCATCAACTTCTCAGTACTCATTGTCTGTCACTGCCTCCAGAGCTTCATTTCCATTGTCCTTCATCATGTAGATGTAGTCCAAACTATCATGGCTTTGAATCATTGACACTGTTGGCATTTGCAGAGGTGTTTGAGATTGAGAACACCATCAAGAAGCCTGATTCCTTCCTTGAGTCTTACTAAGTTCATAAATCCTCACATTGGAGAAGGCTTCTTATACAGGAATGCTACGTAATTCTATGATAAATCAGAGTCAAGTGCATTATGATCATTGGCTGTCATACTGCTCAGTTATGGTCCTACTCAGGGCCGGCTCATGGCTTTTGTTTTCAAGCTTGACTGCTGTGTGGTGCTGCATCTGCATCTGTAGCCTGCTGTCTTTCCCACTTCTGCTTTCATATGAGTCTTCATCCTTTTTCACTGAGAGCCAAAATGAAGAAAACTTTAAAAAGCAATAAACATATTGTGCAAAATAGCCACAAACGACTGCCTTCAAAGTTCTGAAAGTCAATGAGACCCCGTACACACAATTTTTCAATTATTTTGCCAAGGAAATTCCACCAGTGATGTGTGACTCATTTATATTGTTCTCCATTGGAACAAAATTGCTACATTTTTCAAAAGTCAGTATTTCACATATATTTAAAAAGGAGATACTTGAATTCTCTTGCTTGCATTCCCCATATCCATGGAGTTCATCAATATGGCTTCTTCTCTGAAATATATGAAAATTACCAGGAAGTCACCATCTCTGTTAAAGAAATAGAGGTTTGGATAGATTATCTGCAGTTGCCAAGAAATAATGAGTCTGAAAAGACAAGTCATGTTTTATGCTGCCATGATGAACACATGTTAAAATAAAATGCATGTATGTACCATGTCAGCATATTGATGTTTTATCTGATTCTATGTGGATGCATTGGAAGTGGCCTATTTTACTGTGTCTGCTTTTGACTTGAAATGGTGGAGAAAGAAAAGTGAACTAATTATGGGAGACAATGGGCATAAAAACCTCTTTCTGAGTCATGACAGAAATTACAGAAATGAAGCAGTTCAAGATGTGCGTCTTTGGAGACATCCTCACATTTACTGTTTGAAAAGCACTCATTCTATGCTGCTAATCTATTTTCTAGGTTGGCTTATAGAATTCTGAACAGCCCAAAGGTTCAGTTCTTAATAAATTTCAAGATAGTATGTGCATTTGTGAGCCAATCAGTTCAATTTAGTTATAAATAAAATAATGCACAATTTTTTAAATCAGCAGAATGATATAAATATTAGGCCAGAAAAGAAATTGATTTAAGAGATAGGCAATTGGAGTATGAACTAACCTTGTTTAATTTAGTGTTGTTTGATGGTGCAAGTCCATTTTGGGGAAAGGAATGAAAGATAAATGGGAGAAGAAGCATAAAGCAAAAAGAAAAAGTGGGGAGGGAAGGAGAAACTGTTACCACAGTGTATCAAACTAGTTTAGTATAATAGCATGTTACATGTGACAGTATTGTATCATTATGGGAGGAAACTTGAGACAAAGTGTATTTTGTCTTTTTTTAAGTGACTGTGTATAGTGGTATATGTACCTGTTAGTGCTGTGCAGGTGGGTATTAGTACACATGTGTGCACATGCATATGGAGAGAGACAAATATTGATGGTCTTTCCTCTGTCACTTTCCACCCTTATTTCTTGAGAAAGTGTCTTTCAGGGAAACTGAAGCTCATTGATTTGGTTAGGCTGGATGGCCCACCAATGAACTTCAGAGATTCACTTGTCTCTGTGTCCTCTGGTGCTATGTTCAAGGCACAGGACACAATGATGGACTATTTTTTACATGGTGCTGGTGATAGATCTCAGGTCTTTATGGTTGTAAGGGAGTCACTTCATGACCTTTTCAACTCTTAAGACCCTGGAGTCAAAGTTTTTTAAAAATGTAATTGTTACTTTGATTATTTCTTTTTAAATTAAAATAGATTCTTCTCTCATATATTATACCCCAACTAGAGTTTCCTCCTCTCCGCTATTCCTAGCTGCCCCCACTTCCTTCTCCTCCCAGATCCACTCTCTTTGTGTTTCCTCTTCAAAAAAGAGAAGTCCTCTAAGAGATGACAGCCAAATAAGACAAAAAAGGTACAGTAAGATAAGGTGAAAGTCTGCTGATTGTGGCTGGACAGGGCAATCCAACAGGAGGAAAGGAGTCTCAAGAGCAGGCAAAAGAGTCAGAGATATACTGACTCCTCCTGTTAGGAGTTCCACAAAACCACCAAGCTAATAGCCATAATGTGTACAAAGAGGACCCGGTGCAGACCCATATAGGCCCCTGGCTTGCTGTTTCAATCTCTGTGAGCCCACATGAACCCTGCTTAGTTGACTGAGTGGATCATGTCATAATAAATTAATTGTCTGAACTTTAAAAAACGTAGCATTATTTGTTACAAAATTTACACAATCTATATTGACTGTATTCACCAAACTTTCCTAAACAGCTCCAGAGCTACCCTTGACCCCCCCCCCACTTCTAAGATTTTGTTCTCTTAACAAACTTGTTTTTTGAAGATTTATGCTATATATGAGTCCCTGCATGTTTGTCTATGCACTTCTTACTTACCTGGTGCTTGTGGAGGCTAAAAGAAAGTATCATATCCACTAGAAGTGGAATTACAGTTGAAAGCCAATCTGTGGGTGCTGGGAACTTAATGCAAGTGCTCTTAACTGCTGAGCCATCTCCCCAGACTGTGTAATTCCTTCCTTCCTTCCTTCCTTCCTTCCTTCCTTCCTTCCTTCCTTCCTTCCCTCCTTCCTTCCTTTCTTCTTTCTTTTCTGCTTCCCTCCCTCTCTCTCTCTCTCTTACTTCTGTCTTTCTTTGTCTGTCTGTCTTCATAGTAGCCCATTGAGTCGACCTTGTGCTACATGCGAATGTATGGGTGTGGGACCATTCACTGGAGAATAGGTAACCTACCAGAACTCCCTTAAAGAAGACAAATTCTCCCTCTCTCAGAAGCCACTACATATCAATAGCTACTCAGTTTGGGGTGATGTTCTTGAGGGCCTTTCACCTCTATGCTAGAATGTTGACTGACTTGATCTTGTGCAGGACTTGTCCAGGCAACCACAGCAGCTGAGTTCATGAGTGCAGTGGTTCTGCCATGTCCATACAACACAGTTTCACTTCCAAGAGGGTCTCCAAGCCTTGAGAGAAGGTGATGACACACATGTTTCATCTGTGGCTGAATACTCATTGATAATTTTTCTCTGCTCTTTTATGAGTTGTGAGATTCTGTGTTAACCACAATCCACTGCACAAAGAAACTTCTCAGATGAGGTCCCAGAGCTACACTCATCTATAGTTACATAGAATAGGGAAACAATTGCAAGTTATTCATTACTGTGCATGGAATGGTGTTGTATGTGTGCGCCACAGCAATTGTGTGGAGGTCAGAGGTCAATTTTGTGAGTCAGTTCCATCCTTCACCCTTTAAGTGGGTTCTGGGGATCGAACTC